GAGCCCCCTTTTCTCCGGGATGAGCCCCCTCAGCTCCCTCAGGAATTCTCCAGACCCTTCCCGTGTCCCAGTGTCAAGAACCCGCTCCAACTGCGCCCTGATCCCGAGTTTGGGAGGAATCTCCTGGATCTCCAACCCCTCCCAGCTCCCCGCTCCTGCTGGGGGTTGTAAGGATGGAAAAGGTCCCCCCTGAGCCCTCTTTTCTCTGGGATGAGCCCCCCCAGCTCCCTCGGGAGTTCTCCAGCCCCTTTCCCATCTCTGGACTCGCTCCGGCCACTCCACATCTTCCTTGGGGACCCCAAAAGTGCCCCTGGATGGGATCCAGCGGCCGAGGGGAGCCCAACCCTCCCATCCGAGCGTGGGGCCCTTGAGCAATTCCCGTGAATTCCCTTTTTTCCCGAGCGCAGCAGATGGGAAAGATAAAAACCTTCCTGGCCCCTCTCCAGGAAAAACTCCGGGAGCTCATCAAAGGCCTGTGGGTTTGGGCTTGGGCTTCCTGGGTTTCAACACCCTGGAGGATCCTCCTCCTCCTCTGCCTCCCTCCAGAGGGTGTCCCAGGGATGTTCCAGGGCCGTTCCTGTCCTTGGATTCTTCACTGGGATGAGGAAGATGAAGATGATTTCAGATTCTTCGCTGGGATGAGGAAGAGGGAGATGACTTTGGAATCTTCACTGGGATGACACCTGCTACCATCCCAGGGGGATCCAACCTGGCCCTGGACACCTCCAGGGATCCAGGGGCAGCCACAGCTTCTCTGGGAAATCCATTCCAGGACCTCCCTGCCCTCCCAGGGAGAAATTCCTTCCCAGTATCCCACCTATCCCTGCCCTTTGGCAGTGGGAAGCCATTCCCTGTGTGCTGTCCCTCCAGCCCTTGTCCCCAGTCCCTCTCCAGCTCTCCTGGAGCCCCTTCAGGCCCTCCCCTTGGAAGGGGTTCCAAGGTCTCCCTGGATCCTTCCCTTCTCCAGGGGAACCCCCCCAGCTCTTCCAGTCTCTCTCCATGCCAAAGGTTCTCCAGCCCTCGGAGCAGCTCCGTGGCCTCCTCTGGGCTCATTCCAACAGCTCCACGTCCTCCCTGTACTGGGAATCCCCCCTGGAGGCACCTCTGGATTCCGTGGCCAGGTCCCACCAACCTCCCACCCTCCAACACCCCCAAGTCCTTCTCCTCAAGTCTCTCCCTGTTCTTCCCCCCCCCAGCCCTGGTGTGTGTTTGGGATCACCCTGACCCGGGACAAACCCCGTGCCCCCTCCCCCGGGGACCTTTGGGGTGACAAAACACAGGAACATCTTCATCTCTCTGCAGTTTATTGGGAATGAAAGAACTCGGGGGTGGGAATCAGCAGGTCCACGGGACAGAAGGTGGGCGATGGAGCCCCTCACGTGCCAGGTGGGAAGGAGAGGAGGGAAAAGGATCCGTAAAACATTAAAGCTGCCAAATGACTCCACCGGGGGAAGGTGGACAATTCCAGAGACCTGTTTCTCACTCCTCGAACTGACCGTGGGGCTTCGGCCCCTCCCTCCTGCTCGGGTGGGGTCCTGCCAGGGCTGAAATGGGTGGTGGGACACCGGGGGGGGACACGGACCTTCCAAAGGGACAGGAAAGAGCAGTTGGACAGGGATTCCTCCTCAGCCAGAGCAGCGGCCCCGGGGCGGCAGCGAGGGGGGAGCTCTGAGTGCCCAGGGAGATGTTTCACCCCCTGGGGGGCTCAGCTAGGGACCAGCAGGGTGGGGTCTCACTCCAACCTCATTTAGGGATGATTTTCCCTGGGAACGGGTCGTTTCCTGCTGGATTAGGGCGGGAGGGGGGAGCTCTGAGTCCCGGGGAGATGTTTCACCCCTGGGGGGGCTCAGCAAGGGCTCAGACCGGGCCAGCAGGGTGTGGTCCCACTGCAACCTCATTTTGGGGATGATTTTCCCTGGGAACAGGTTGTTTCCTGCTGGATTGGGGCGGGAGGGGGAGCTCTGAGTCCCGGTTACCCACCGGGAGATGTTTCACCCCTTGAGGGGCTCAGCGAGGGCTCAGAGCGGTCCAGCAGGGTGGGGTCTCGCTCAGACCTCATTTAGGGATGATTTTCCCTAGGAACGGGTCGTTTCCTGCTGGATCGGGGCGGGAGGGGCTGCGCTGCTGGGGGGAGGAAGGGGAAGGAGCTGCTTTCCTTGAGAGGGCCCGGGGAGGGGGGAAGCTCAGTACTTGACCCCCGAGGACTTGACCGTGGTGGTGGTGACACATCTCCGCACCGAGGACGAGCCCCCCCCGGCCACGAAGTTTCCGGCCGAGGAGCTGCACATCCTCCCGCTGCCGGAGGAGAACCCACCGCTGAGGATCCCCCCTCCCACCCCGCAGCCGCCCCCGACGACGCTTCCTCCTCCTCCGACCACGCACACTCCTCCTGCCGCCAGCCCGTTGCCGGCCCCGAAGCCGCCGGCCCGGCCCCCGCACACGGTGGTCCTGCCCACCACGGCTGCAAGAGAAGGGGAGACCGATTGAACATCCTCGAACATCCCCGGAATCCTCAAAAAAAAAAACCCAAACCATCCCCCCCAGGATAAAGGTAATTCCCGAGAGAAAACGATGGGAAAATACTCACAGACATTGACGTTGGACGGGTTGTCTCCGCAGAGCCTGTGAAGGGAGAGGAGCACCGGGTGAGACTGAGACAAGTGAGCCCAAAACTCCATGAAATCCCCCCGATATTCCCTGGATATCCCGTTTCATTTAAGATCAGTCAAACCCACTGAGAAACGTTCCACCCTGGGACCACGTTTCCATTTTGGGCTTCAAAATTCGGAGTTAGAAAAAGGGAGGAAAATCAGATTTCAGCACCAAACGTCCTGTGAGAGGTGATGGAAGGTTAATTTGACCCGAGGAGGGGCAGGAGCTGGATCAGGCCGAGGCTGGGAGGTCTCACCTGTTCTCCTCCCCCTCCAGCAGCTTCCTGTACATGGCGATCTCCACGTCCAGCGCGATCTTGATGTTCAGCAGCTCCTGGTACTCCTTCAGCAGCCGGGCCAGCTCCTCCTTGTCCTTGCTCAGGGCACATTCCAGCTCCTCCAGCTTCCTGCGGGCGTCCTTGAGGGCCATCTCGCCCCTCTCCTCGGCCTCGGCGATGGCCGACTGCAGGTGATGGTTCTACGGGAAGGAAACGTTTCTCATTCCTGGAGAATCCTCGGGGATTCACTGGAGGGAAAACAGGCAGGAACCACCCCAGGAGGCACCAACCAGCCCTTTACCTGCTTCTTCACGTTCTCGATCTCCGTCCTCAGCCTCTGCACGTTCCTGGTCAGCTCCTGGATCTCGACCTTGGTGTTGCGGAGGTTGTCCCCGTGGCGCCCGGCCGTGCTCTGCAGCTCCTCGTACTGGTGGCACAGGGACAAAGGGACCCGTCAGTGACACGACCGACCCAGGGCTCGGGTGTTCCCCTTGCTCCAGGGGCCTCGACTCCCTCCCAGGAGCTCACCCTGCTCTGGTACCAGGCCTCGGCCTCGGCGCGGCTGTTCTGGGCGATCTGCTCGTACTGGCGCCGCACCTCCTCGATGATGCTGTCCAGGTCCAGGTGCCGGTTGTTGTCCATGGACACCACCACGGACAGGTCCCGGCTGATGGTTTGCATCTGGGCCAGCTCCTGTGACCGAGAGAGGCAGCACAGCTCAGCCTCCAGCCTAAATGGACACCCAGCCCAGCCTCGGTGTCCTTGGCCACCACACCCTCGTTAAAGCCTCGCCCAGGGGAAGGGAGAGCTCCTGGGGAGAGCTCCTACCTCCTCGTAGATGCACCTCAGGAAGTTGATCTCGTCGGTCAGAGCTCCCACCCTGGCCTCCAGCTCCACCTTGGTCATGTAGGCACAGTCCACGTCCTAAAGGAAAGATCCCACCAATGGCCAACCCCTTCCTCTAATCCCGCAGGAGCTGCTGGCTCTTTCCATTGGGACCTGCCCGTCTCAGTGCTGGGTCCTTGCAGTGTCTGTGTACCCTGTCCTGTCCCCCCCGTCCCTCCCGGTGCCTCTGCACTCACCTTCTTCAGCACCACGAACTCGTTCTCGGCCGCCGTGCGCCGGTTGATCTCCTCCTCGTACCTGGGGGGGCACAGGGCAGGGTGGCACCTCGGGCCCCTCATCCCAGTGGGACCCCCCTTCTCTCCAGGGCACCCTCAGCCCTATCCCTGCCCGTGGGGTGTCCCGGGTGGTCCCTCCCCGTCCCCCCGGGCACTCACTTGCTCTTGTACTCCTCCACGTACTGCCGCATGTTCTGCAGCTCCGACTCCAGCTGCCCCCGCTGCCCCAGCAGGTTCTCCAGCTGCCTCCTCAGGTTCTGGATGTAGTTCTCAAAGATCACATCCAGGTTCTTCCTCGGTCCCACCGGCCCCTGCTGCTGCAGCAGCTCCCACTTGGTGGAGAGCACCTTGTTCTGCTGCTCCAGGAATCGGACCTGAACCCAACAGGGGTGTGTGAGACATTCCCGAGGGAACATCCCGCTGCCCAAACCTCCTGGGAGCTCTGGGGGGCCAAGGGATCACTCCCCAAATCCCCAAGAGGACATTGCTTCCAACAGCAAAATTCCTCCCTTCTTTCTCCTTTTTTTTCCCATTTTTCTTAAATTCTCCCATTGTTCTCCTCCTACGTTTCCACTCTCTTTTTTTTATAATTAATATTATTAATTTTTTTACCTATTGGAACAATTCCATTCCAATTTTACAAACTATTTTCATTTCCAACTGGGAATGTTGCCCCACATTATTTTTTAGGAGCCTCAGATAATTTTCGACCTCCCAGTGAACGAAATCCCATTTGTCTCCATATCCAAGAACATTCCTCTCATCAGTCAATTCCAATTTCCTAATTCCAGTTCCAAATTCCAATGTATGGAAATTATTCCATAAATAAGTCACATATTTAAATAAAAGCACGGAGCACATTCATACCCAACATTCTCCCAGTTCAGACAATTTAAAGAGAACTCATCTGCACTTTGAGCTGAAATGAGGAATGGCTGGGATTTACTTGGAAGCTCATTCCTGGATTTTAAGTTCCTTGAAATAAACTTATCCCTGAGAAAGCACAGACTTAAGGGAACACTTGGATAAGGGAGTGTATCCCGATCCCTCTGGCCTGGCTGCCCAGAGGGCACCGGAGGCAAAACCAAGGGAGAACTTGGGTCAGAATTTGGGATCCACAAATATCCCTCGGTTTCTCCACAGACACAAAATTTTGGCATTTCCTCGGGAGGAGCCAAGGAAAACTCTCCCTGGCCAACACCAGTCTGAGGAGGACAACATTCATTCCACTCTCCACAGAATTCCCTCAGAATTCCCCCATCCCCGAGCAGACCCTCTCACCTTGTCGATGAAGGAGGCGAACTGGTTGTTGAGGGTCTTGATCTGCTCCTTCTCCTGGCACTTCACCTGCTGGATCTGGGGGTCGATGTCCACGTGGACGGGCCGGAGCAGGGTGGGATCCACCTGCACGGGCTGGATCCCCCCGGGGAACCCGGGGCCGCCCCGGACGGGCCCCCCAAAGCCGCACATCCCTCCTCCGACGACCCCTCCTGCGATGCCGCCGAATCCTCCCACGAATCCTCCGCTGAATCCCGGGATCCTACATCCGTAGGAGCCCCCCACGGACATCCTGGCGCTGCCCCCCAGGTTGTGGAGGCTCCGGCTGCTGAAGCCCCCGCAGCGTCCCCCTCCTCCGACCCCTCTGGACGTGGAGAAGGAGCTGTAGCTGATCCGGCTCCGGCCGCCGCTGCCTCCGAACCCGCCGCCCACGGCGGAGCAGGAGCTGAACCCTTTCCTGCTGCCCATCCCAAAGCTCCTGCACACGGACTGACGGGACATCCCGCTGTTCCACAGAGCCAAAGGTGCAGAGGACGAGGAGATCAGCAGAGCTGGGCTGGCGTCGAGGGCAGAGAGAAGTGCTCAGAGTCTTCTCTGGCCCCACGGCTCCGGGCATTCCCTTTTATCCGCTGCTGGGGGTGGGCCGGGGCGGCTTGGGCGTGAAGAGGAAACACATTTACTGTCTCCATCAGCTCCGTGCGGTTTCCAGGCTTTTGCCAAACCGGCGACTCCACCCAGAAATCCGCCTGGCCGTGCAGAAGGGGATGGGGAGGCAGGAGCAGGTTCTCCCTGGATAAGTGGACTCCCGTATCTCTCCGGCATCTAAAGAAAATATGTTTTACAGCGATGGTGTCATGTTCTTCCCTCCTCCTCCTCCCACCTCCCTCCCTGCTCCAAACGACTCCGCGCGTCGCCTGACTCGGGGTTTTTTCCCCTGACGCCCCACGCCGGGCAGGATTTTGGTGAAACCCGGCTGGGATGAGGCTTTCATTTCACAATCCCCCCACACACACCCCTCAAGCACACCCCGAATCTCCTTCCCAAGCGGAAAATTCCCGCTGGCTTTCCAAGGGGAAAAGCGCCACGTAAGGAACATTTGGCGGCCGTCAGCGTTTCTGTCTCGCCCTGGAAGGAGCTGTTTGGTCCCTTCCCAAGAGCCTCGGGTGGGTGCCTTCCCTCCAGAATGTGTCCCCCGGGGTTTGGGACAAGGATTCCGAGCACCGGAGGGGGATGAGCAAGAGAACAAGGATGTCCAGCTCCTTCCTTGTGCTTTTCCAGTGGCCACAGGGACTGTGGAGCCTGTGGAGGATGGAAAGGACGCTCGGGGCAGTCGCTGTGCTAATGAGGACTGACAGGAACGTTTAATTCCATGCACTGGCTGCCTGGTGACGGAGTTGGAAGCTCACCCGAAGGACATCCTGCAGGTGCCTCCTGGGGGGTCATTAATCAACTAAATATTTGAGTTAAATTTATGGAATTTAGGGGAAAAAAACCCCACAATATTTCCACCATTCTTATTTCCTGAAAATCATCAATAAAAGTCAATTCTGTGTTTTAAGGCATTTCAGCATTAAAACATTTCAGCAGTCCAGTGATATCCCAGATTTCAGCTTCCCGAGGGGAACATGTGCCTGTGCCGGAGTTTTGACACTCACACCTGAGATTTGGGCAGGTAAATGTGGTTTGAAGGTATCCCCAGGAATCCGCCAGAGGCCACAGACTCTGCAAACCCTTCGGAAAACCAGCCCAGGGAACCGCTTCCAAAAGCCACTGGGGAAATGAGAAACGTGGATGTTGTCAGCTGGAAGTGGGATGGGGCTGCTGGACCCTCGGGCTGGACAGAACAGAGTGGAGGGGGAAGGTTACCCTGGAGGGGGATTCAACTGCTGGCCGAGGGTTATCCCACCCCTGAGGGACTCAAAACCACTGGCCAAGGGTCATCCCACCATTGAGGGGGACTCAACACGTGGCCAAGGGTCATCCCACCCCTGAGGGACTCAAAAACACTTGGCTGAGGATTATTCCACCCTTCAGGAACCCTAAAACCATTTGGCCAAGGGTTATCCCACCCCTGAGGGACTCAAAGACACTTGGCCGAGGGTTATCCCACCCCTGAGGGACTCAAAACCATTGGCAAAGGGTTATCCCAGTCCTGAGGGACTCAGGTCATGGTTGGCCAAGGGTCATCCCACCCTTGAGGGACTCAAATGTTGGCCAAAGGTTTTCCCACCCTTGAGGGACTCAGGTGAGGGTCGGCCAAGGGTCATCCCACCCCGATGGACTCAGGGGTTGGCCAAGGGTTCTCCAGATGTGTGTTCCTGCAGCTGGAGAAGGGGCAGCACCCCCACAGCAGGGAGGGGACACCCTCCCTTCCAAAGGAGCCTGAATTGAGGAGTCTGAGTTCAGAGGGTCTTGCTTCTCCACTGTCACATCCAAGGTGGAGATTTAAGTCCTCCGGATCATCCTGCAGCCCAGAGCAGCCCCGGGGAGGTGCAGGATGGCTCTGGTTCAGCTGGAGAAAACAGGTCATCCCTTCTCCCGGGATCCCGATTTCCAAAGGGCCCCTGCCTTCCTCGGAAGGCACCGGGAGTCGCCTGGAACGTCCCATGTGGCGGCTCCACGAAGAGAGGGGGCAGATGTGCCGCGTCAGCCGGATGCCTGGGTGCTGACCACGCTCAGCTCCCGCAGATAAAACGCCCCAGATTGAGTCACTCTGACGTCTCCAGACGAGATGTGCAGATTATCCCCAACCTGGAGTCGGGCTCGGCCTCCTCCGGGTAGAACCCGACCGGCAGCCCCAGCTCCGGCTCCGGCCGAGCCCTCGGAGCTCTTGCGCAAGGAGCTGCGGCAGCAGAATCCCAGGCACTGGGGAAAGTGTGAACTCGGCAGAAAAACGTGGATGGAGGACGAGCCGGGCCCTGGCTCTGCCGAGGAGGTGTTGCAAGGGCTCCCCAAAGCAGCCCCAACGCCACGTAAAGTTGGCTGTAAAGCTTGGAAGAAACTTGCTCTTTAAAATTAGGCACCAAAGCAGGTGATTAAGCACCAAAACAGGTGATTAAGCACCGAAACAGGTGACTCCTGCCCCAAGCCAAACACCAAAGTGCTCCTGGCTCAGCTCCAGCTTCTCACAGGCATTGCCTGCTCAGCATCTTTGCTTGGATTGAACCCAGTGACGTTCCCCAGCTCCAGAGCCCTTCAAAGGGGAGGATTCCCTCTTCCAAGAGCCCACTGCCTGTCCCGGGCCTCTCCCTCAGTCTGCAGCTTCCTGACCTGCTCTGGGGACACCAGCAGCTCCCAGGGGCTGTTGTGGGACTCCTGATCCACCCCGACAGCGTTTTCTGCCTCTTTGATCTCTCCCTGTGGCGGAGGAACCACAGCACAGCTCAGATCAAACACACCAACACTCCCCTCCCAAAGCCCCTGTGGAGCTGCTCCAAATCTCTGCCTCCTGCTCCGGGAGGGAGGAAGAGCCACTGGGGGAGTTCCTCGGCTTTCCCGGGAGCTGCCGGGGCCTGGGCTCCGGGGTTTGGGATGAATCACCCCTTCCCAGCCCGCTGCGTTCCCACGGCTGGTCGGGGCCGGCTCGTGGCTCTCCGGCATTCCTGGTGCTCACATCCCACCTGGCCACAGCCCAGGTGTGCTCCAGAGCGTGCTGGGCCCACGTCCTTATCCCTGTTCCCCTCCCACGGGGCTCCTGTGCTGCCCAAAGTCCACTCCGGGGCAGGAAACTCAGATGAGCCGACAACAGACCGATCCCGCGGCTGCTCCCACCTCCCGCGGCCGGTTCCCACCAGCAGGCAGCTCGTCGGGTCTCCGCTGGTTTGACCACGAGGCACCGGGAGCGTCCCCGCCCAGATCCCGGGACTTGCTGTCGGGGGTTTCAGCAGAGCCTCCCAAAAATCACAAATCTGAGGGAGGTCGGGAAAACCCCTTTCCCGGAGCTCCGGGGACGGGGGTGTTGCCACATCTGGTGAGAGGGGGCGTGGGCAGTGAAGCCCCTCGGGGGGCCTCGAGGCAGAGCTCTAAAACCTGGGATGGGGCAGCCTGGACCTCCTCAAGGGCTGGGAAGGTGCTGGACCCCCCCGTGCTGGAGGTTTCCAGGCCCAACAGCTGCAGTGGTAACGACTCCACAGGGTTCCAAGGGGGAGCTGGGTGGTTCCCCAAATCAGGAGACGCCCCAAAATCGAGCAGCCTCCTGGATTTCTCCAGCTCGGGCTCCTGCTGTCAGTGAGCGCTGTGTGAGCGGAGCGTTCAGCCCCCACAGCTCGGGTTTGTGGCTCCAGGGGAGAGCCAAGAGGCATCACCTGAGCTTGGGCACTGCCCTGCTCCATCCCCACACCTCTGGAGTTCCCTCAAAGCACGATCACAACACGTCGGGCAGCAGAACGACCCCCAAATGCCCACCCAGCTCCTTCCCCGCCCTGGGACAGCTCCCGAAGCAGCGACACAACGAGCCGGTGAATGTTCTCTGCAGTTTATTGGGAATGGCAACATCCCGGGGGAGGAGGGCGGGACACGCACGGAGGGTGGGCCACAAACACGGGACAGAGCGGGGAAGGGGAGTTTTATACAGGTTTGCCACGAGAAATGTCCAACCCAGCGAGGGGGGGCAGCTCCCCGTGCCGGGACCCCGCCGGCATCGCCCCCGGACCCCGCGCGGCACCGGGAGCGGGGCCGAGCCGGGCGGGGGGGACGCGGCTCGTCCCACGGCGGGGCGGCCGAGCTGGGGGTCGGGGGGCTGGGGCTGCTGCCGGCGGGACGGAGGAGCTGCTGCTGCTGCTCGGCGGGGCTCAGAACCGCACCCCCGAGGACTTCACCGAGGTGGTGGTGACGCATCTCCGCACCGAGGACGAGCCCCCGCCGGAGCCGCACATCCTCCCGCTGCCGGAGGAGAAGCCCCCGCCGTACATCCCCCCGCCCATCCCGCAGCTGCCGCC